GTTGCAGGGGTGATGTGCTAATTCGCTGGTGCTTTAATTCCTCCAAGGTCAGAAATCACTGCAGGGGGAGGCTGATGTGTCTACAGACAGGAGGGAAAAAGCCAAATCCTTCCCCTCTGTCCTGGCGCCCCAGCCAGCGTGCCCTTCACCCGGTGGTGAGGAGGGGCAGAAGGCCTACAGAGCGTGCTCTGTGCTAGGGGCCCCTTCAGCCAGTCTCGGAGCACTTCCCCCTCGTGAGTGTGCAGCATGTTGGTGCCACCTGCTGTGTGGTCCGGCCTGGCTCCTCTCTGAGGACACCCTTGGAGGTCAGTGCAGGCCGAGGTCAGGGCCGGCGCCCATGGGCCTGCTTCCCTGCCTCCCTCGTGCGTCTGAGACAAGTTTCACGCTGCGTGCAGGCCCATAGAGAACATTGTTCAAATTTTTACCTGTTTCTTAGTGCAGTTTTTTCCCCTAATTATAAAAAGTACATTTATTGTACAAAATTTAGATAGAGAAATGTAAAGAAGAAAATAAAGTGACCCACAATCCCCCCAGAGGACCATGTCACACTTTTTGGTGGCACAGCCTTCTGAGCTCTTTTTCTTAGACACACGATACACGTTTTAAGCACAGCTGGGATACCCTCCATCTGATTTCGTGTTCTGATTGTACAGTGTGCCCCTGAAGTTGCATTTTGCGTATTGATTTATCCCTGATGTGTTTTTTGTTGTTAAATGCTCTGTGAAAAAATATTTAGTAGCTACCTAACAGCCCATCATGTGGGGACAGCACACTTCACTTTCTTGTTCTCCTGTTGTTGGCTGTGTGGGTTGTTCAATACATTTAATCTGTGATGAAGCTGATACTTAACACGGGTTGAATTAATTTTAGAAAATGTTATATGTAATGTATACTGTATGGAAATTACGAGTAGTTTTTGTTTGAGAGAGCTGCTGTTCTTATGAGTTTAAGTTTTTGATTTTAATAATGTGTGCATATCTTTTATCTCGATCTGAAGTATTTTACAATTGGCTCGGGCTCCTCAGAAAGGCCACATGCTCTCTCACTTCTAGAAGTTGGGCGCCTCGGGAGGAGTAAGAGGAGTTCAGTCACTTGTTCTTGCAGCCTCACTGGTGCCTGTGTCTGTGCTCGTACTCGGTGGAGCTGACACGTCCGGCAGACGGATGGGGCTTTGCTCCAGCCGTCTGTCTCCGGGAGCTTGTGGCAAGCAGCCGGTGCCGTCAGGGAGCTCGGAGCGCCTCCTCCACCCGGTGCAGCTGCGGGCGCTGTCCGCGCGGGCCGTCCGCTTCCGCGAGTGCGAGCCGGACCTTCCCAGCCTGTGGCCTGCGTGCTGAGTGCCGCCCCCCGGGCCGCATGTGAGCTCCGGCCCCGCCCCGCTGGCGCTGGCTGGCGGCATGGTCACCCGCCAGCCGGGTGAGCTGACCTGAACTCCCGCCAGCACGGGTCTCACGTGGCAGAGGGTTGAGGGGAGCTCGCCAGGACGGTTCCGCCCAAGTGCGGCTCTTGGCAGAGTGAGCGGACGGTTGTCGAGTCCTTACTGCGTGCCCGAACTGTGCCGTGTGCTTGACCCGCTGCCTGTCGCTGGGTCTGTTCTGTGCAGCCGCTCGCCCCGCGTGATGGGTGAAGATGCCGAGGCCGAAACGCTCATGTTACCGGGCGTGGCCGTGGTCACTCCGCCCACGGATGGGGGACCAGAATTTGAGTCCAGGTTGTTAGACTCTGAGTCCCACATGCTAACCAGAATGCTGACTTTTAAATGCAAGCTGATTTGTAGTTGGTTTAAACATTAATAGTTAAAACTTTTTCCTTTTTGTTAGAGGAACAAAAAATGACCCATTGTTCTGACGGGCAGCAGCATTTTGGACATTAACTACCTTCTGTGGTTTTCTCTTCACATTCCTGCTGGGAAGGTCACTTTGGTTGCTTACAGAGCGTCTCAGGTTCTCCTAATGGAATTGCACGTGCGGTCACTTTAAAGGCCCCCCAGTCCCGAGCTTTGCGCAGAGTGGGGATTGAGTGCCGCTGGTACTGCGGGGGCGGGTGGGGGCAGGAGACTGGCTCAGAGTCCAGGAAGCGCTTCCCTCCCGGAGGTACTCACACGCTTCTGCCTCTCTCTCCCCCCAGGCGGAAGGTTATGTAATTGGAAGCTGCATCAAACACATCCCGATTGCAGGTAGAGATATTACGTATTTCATTCAACAGCTGCTAAGGGAGAGGGAGGTGGGAATCCCTCCTGAGCAATCACTGGAGACCGCAAAGGCCATTAAGGTAAAAACAGACGGGAAACGGGCCGGTTTGGGGGTGAGAGAGAAACGGTGTTTGCACACTTCCCCTCGCGGCTGCCACCCCTGCTCCCCCGCCCCTGCCCCACCCCGCCAAGAATGTGGGTCTTCGTCTGTTTACCACTTGAACTAGGGGCTGAAAGCGTAGCCTCTTCTCTGAACACGGATGCTTGTGGAGGTTCTGCCTGTAAGTGAGAGCAGCTTGATACCCGCTGTTGAGCATCGTACGTAGTACAGTGTCATTTAATTGGAGCCTGATTAGACAGAACCTCCAATTAGCCGATGTGTCTTCCACCTCTCCCTCCAGGCTTCATTTCTCTGTCAGGAACAGACAGCAGCAGTGGCTGTGAGGAGCCCTGTGCAGCCAGCCAGAATTCAGACTCATTCCCATCACCTGCAGTGTGTGGCCCTGTACCCTGAGGGTTACTGCTCAGAGTGACGCTGTTCTCGGGTGAATCATTAAACAGAGTCCACATGTGTTTTCTAGACTCTCATTACCATGCTGGAGAAGTTACAGGAAGCTCCAGAATTAAATCAGTAAGATCAGGAGGAAAATGGCTCATTGGTCCTTATTTAAAATGCCCACTTGACCTGACCCATCAGTTTGGTCTTTGTATTGCTCTGTAGGTGGCAGTTGACAGACCCTTTTTAGAGGAACTTTCTTTTCAGGTTGCAGAATCAGGAGAAATTACTGTTTTGTTTTTGTTTTTAATCAAAATACAAGAGATTCTTAGTAACACAAGGATAATTATTATACAGATGAAGAGCAAAGATTTTGTTTTTGGAGAATTTAAACATGAGAGGTGACGTGTGGCCTTGAACACACAGTTTCTGAGCTGCAGGGGAGTTTAAGGGAGGTTAGCCTTCCCCCTTTCCTTCCACCTGTGCACCCAGTAACGGGCTGGTTGAAGGAAAGATAGCATCCAGGGTTTTGCACGACTCTCCTGGTGGACACAGAGGTGTTTTTAGGACAGGTGCACTGGTGTGGGTCAGGGCTCCTGCGAGTAGGGTGGCCGGCT